TCATCATCGGATGCATAGGTTGACTGATGTATTCCTTTCAGTGATATTTTATTTGCAATTCAGACTGTAGTTAGCGCAATAAAAAATTGCAGATAATGAAGATAAGAAGCGTTAGTGTCTGTTTTATATATAATTTTTAATAGAATTAACCTATTTCGACGATCATCTTTTATCTTGATTTTTTTGGAGAATCTTAATTTTTTTTAAATTGCAAAAAAGTCGAAAATTGTTAAAAAAGTCTTAATCTTTTTTTTTTATCTCAAAGCAGCATCCGATAAAGATTGTGTTAACAGTGGTATGACTTTTCTCTTATAATATTCACATAAAAACTGTACTTTTTTTATGTTTTTTTTTATCGTGGATGCTTAACAATTACGAGTCAAAAAATAATATCAAGACCGCTTCTCTTTCATTCACTTCATTCGACCTCTCGCTCTCGTCTCACTCAGCAGTCTCGCCTTAGGATCACTTTGAGTATATAAACGGTGAGGTCCGAGGGGAGGATTTCGATAATAATCGACGATCCGTCAGTGAATGATCACAAGACGAAAAATCTGTTGTGATTAGCACGAATAAACTTTGCATCATCTCAAGTGATATTTTCTGAAAAATGACCTTAGGCATAAGGAGGCATCTAAAAATTAAGTATCAATCATTTAATTATACTTCATAACATAATAATTCTGAACAGATCACGATTTATTTACAGATACAATTTGTTGACGAAAATGATCGACTTTAAATAATGTGATGTTTACAAACTGTAGACAAGAGTTAAGTAACGATAATTGTTGCTAAGTGAAATTGGGCCTAAAGTTTAACAAGTGATTATTACTCTATTGTTTATTACATTGTAACAATTCTTAGGCGCGATCTGTTGCGAAATTTAATCGCATCCTCCACCTCGTTCGTTCTCTCACCCGAGAGCTCTCTACACTCTTTTGACGCGGATGACAAAAATTCTACGACATCGATTGTATCGAAAGAATCTCGTGGAGTTATGATGATATATATATACGTTGCTATTATATTATATTACGTTAGTAGAATCTAATATGTCAACAAGAAATTCGAATTGATACTTTGTGTTTGTTGCGTTCACACATACAGTCATACATTTCTCACGTACTTCGCAAAATAAAAGTCACTGTGAATGTTATCAAGCAGAATAATATATATTAAAGGATTAATGTCAAACAACTTAATTTTAGTACTTAATTGGAATCAACAGATGTAAATATTAATATTATTATTAATTAATATTAAATAAAATATGAAAAAATATATCAACAATACTTGTATCTAAAGTTATTGCATTTTGTCAATAATTGAAAATTCCGCATTAAAAAAATAATCTTATTAATTTTTGCAAGCTAGAAATTGATGTATCGGATACATAAAACATTCATGCATCAACATTTGTTCTATGTTAACAATATTGTGTCATTTAACGATAATATTATTTTTTCTGCTTAGCTATATATGATGTAACACGATGATATAGGCTTGATATGACAGTGGCACGTTAACTAATTGTTTCCTTTTATTTCCCTCTTATCTTTTCTTCCTCTTTATCTCACCTTCGATCTCTTGACTTGACATTAACGTGAAAGAAATATTTAATGATCACGCTAAACCTTCCGTTTAAAGTGAGCAATTATCCTTGCAAATTAAATAAAAAATTACAATATGTAAAATATTGGAAGTTGCAAAAATGAAGTAGCTATAGCTATTATTCTTATTAAAATTAAAATATTTTTTACTTGTTACAACTTGTTATGTCGCTAATTAAATATCTCACTTTTTAAAATCTTTATAAAAATATAAAAATAAAAGGACACAATTGTATTCTCACACATTTCAAATAAATAATAGATGGTCCAGACAATCATTAGATTGTCCATATTTGATTGTATTGTGGAATATTAAAATTTAACATAAATATAATTCTTGCTTTTACTTTGTTTCACTCATCGCTCTGATAATATTAAATCCAGATTTGTTTATCTGCACGAGTATCTACATTGGAGATTGGAGGTCAGAAGTAAAAGAGGAAGCTGCTCCAATTACGGCGACATGTTTACTTGTATTTACTACTCGGACAAGAATGATTGCAGTTAAGTAGCGCGTATATATTGATGTTACATTGCCCTCTTAACGCGTATAATTATTTTTAAAATAAAAGTATTATTAAATAAAATTAACTATTATTAAATTAAAACAAACATAAAGATTAAATTTTTTTAAACAAATTAAATATTACGAATAATAAACGAAGATAAAAATAGAAAAATGATAAATGTTTTCATGATTATTGATTCAAAAGATATTGTTTAAATAAGAGGATAATGCTTTTGTCCGGTTTTTTAAGTGCATTTTACGATACTCTGTCCAACAAACACCTATCCATGCGTAATACGCACTTTGATTCCAGCTTATAATTGCCTTAACGTTTAAATATATATTAGAGTTGAATTAATAAGTCTTTTGGATCTAAAGTGATTCGCAGACGTTTTCGTCGAGATGCAAAGAGGCGCCGGAGTTAAACGAATGAACGGGAATGGGGTAACCAGCAACAAGAGAAGTGCTGTCATACCCGTGTAATTTACAAAGGGGATATCCTCAAATATTAACGATAAAATTTTACACATTTTCAACATTTCGCAATTAATTCACCGCAATGGCAGACGCGACAATATCGACGAACGAGATCGAATGATTGAAAAACGTGTCATTCGTGAATATCCTATCTCTCTCCGTTTGTTGTTTTCTTTTTTTTGTAATATCTCGTTATATTTCGCGCAAGAAACTTTTCAAAAATGCCGCAACGCGTTCACTATCGTACTCGTGTCTATACTGCATAACGCGTTGCAGCACTTTAGAGATTGCTCGCCAATTTTTTCTCTGATGATATTTCTAGTTCTTTAAAATTAAATATCTCGTGTCAATTTTTGATGGTAACCAACAGTTATTCGCATGAGTTGAAAAAAAGAGAACTTAATAAAATATCGCATCGTACACGTTTAAGTTTGCATATAATGAATTATATTTTTATTAAAACTCTTATTGTAAATCTACGATGTATTGTGACTTAATGCAACGACAGTCTTATTCACCGTAAATTTTTGAAGTCGTACCAATGACTTTTTTAAATCCGAAAAATTGTCACCTGCGATACTTTATTACGATCTGTTGTTTCCTCGCACGATGTACACACTTATAGTGATAATGCACTCTCGCGTGTCCAAATAGAAGTATCAAGTAATTTCACAACAGATATAGCGAGATATCTACGTATGTACATATAACACGAGACTCCTATGCTACAGTGTCGTATCCTGGAAGCGGATATAGATATTTAAGTGAATGTCCAAGGAATTCGTTCGACGACGACCGGGACAGTTGCACAGGTGGAAGAAACAGTGTATTATTTATACAAGAGATTTTTTTAGTGCCTTGGCTACATTCTCTTAGTTTCTCATGATCTCTTGCGGAATGCACCCTGAAGAAGAATGCCCTTTTGACAGCGTGCAATTTCACGCTATGGCACGTACAATGGCATGTCATTTTGCGTTATTTCTTTCTTTAGCGACTATATAGCATGCAATATTCTACATATATCCAAAAATATTTCTTCAGAATGCATATGTGTACGCCGTCCTGCTGCGTCTATTTCTTTAAATTTGAGACACACTACACTTTGATTCTTTTATCTATTTCGTCAATTATATCGATTTTCGAGTATTCTGTGCTGATATATAACGATACCCGAAGAAAACTTTTGCAATAATAAGTTTGATTACGCAATATAGAAATAATTATTATATCATATGTCTTGCAAATTTTAGATTTAAATTTTAGATAACACCAGTAAACTCGCGGTATCAAATAAATCTCTAAGCGCTTTCATGTGAAATAGATTTGACGTACTTGTTCGTATAGAATTCTTTTACGCGTTAGCGTGTGTATATATTTCCATATTTAATTATTAAATCGAAATTTAATTTATTAATATTTTATCTG